AAGCTGTCTTACCCGCTCTTCCTGTCACGGCTTGCTTCGACCAGTTTCTTTTTTTTTACTGATGTATGTTTGTGTGCGTGTGTGTTTGTGTGTGCGCTGGACCCTTTTCCGAATAGTTTCCTGTAAAAAAATGAAGCAACGGTTTTTTTTTTTCAGTTTATGACGTAAAACACGCGGGTGTTATTGTGAGGCAACATTAATTAGCACTAGCATTTGCATGATTTGGCTCTGTAGATTCACCTTCATTGCCAGGAAAGTGGTCTGTGAGTGTATCATTAATGTCGACCCCATCGAAATCGTACATTTTACACATAAGTTGTATATAATGTTTTCATAAAGAGGGAGGGGTGACTGGAGTTGTTTCGAAATGAACGCTGTAGTCATCCCCTTCTTGAAATCACGCAGTAACTTGCAGTAGCAGAAACAGTCGCTGATCAATAGGTGGTGGCTTGTTGGGGTCAGGGGTTCAGTGTATACCATGTCATCGAGCACGCGATGCCACGCTTACCTGGAAAGTTCAACGCGCACCTGTGTTGTGGTGGTGATTCCGGGAACTCCGGCCACTGCGTGCGAACACGCAATTTTGGCTGTTACGGCGGGACCCGGGTGACTAACCGAATCTCTAACGACTTTCTTTTCAGGGATGGGTCACTGCCGACGAAGCGTCAGAGTTTCGAGCTTTTTTTTTTTTTTTGAGACACGTTTTGAGCATTGAAATTCTACGGTACGCCAGAGCAAATGGAAACATGTGGCATCAGCGCGGGAGAGCCTTCTGCCCAAAGAGTTACGTTGGATTATAGTCTATTATGCGCGACCATTTACCGAAACTGGTGACTTTCGTTAAACGATTATAACTGCAACAGATTGGTCGTTTTTTTTTTTATCTTGACCTAACGTGTCGTTGGCTGTAATCGATCAATATGTGGAGTTTAACGTCCCAAAACCACTATATGATTATGAGAGACGCCGTAGTGGATGGATCCGGAAATTTCGACCGCCTGGGGTTCCTCAACGTGCACCCAAATCTGAGCACACGGGCCTACAACATTTCCGCCTCCATCGGAAATGCAGCCGCCGCAGCCGGGATTTGATCCCGCGACCTGCGGGTCAGCAGCCATGTCGTTGGCTGTAGCTTTCACCGAGCCCGTAGCGAAAAAATTTGTTTGACGGGGGGAGGGGGACACTTGTTGAAGGTGTTGGAAAAACATGTATTTTTATTCATTAACAGCCCTCTCCATTCAAATTTCAGGAGAAGAGGGGGGGGGGGGGCTAGGGCACTCCTTTGGGCTACGGACCTGCGGCTTACACTGCAAATTCTTTTTCTTAACTCTGGCGGCTGTATTTTTTAAGGAGGCGAAAATGTTGTAGGCTTGTGCACTTAGATTTGAATGCACAATAAAGAACCTCAGGTGGTCGAAGTTTGCGGAACTCTTCACTACGGCGTCTCTGATAATCATATGGTGGTTTTCGTACGTTAAACCCCACATATCAATCAATCTTTTTTTCTTGACTACTACGTCAGACATTTTCACCAGTCGTACACATTATACTTGTTAGCTGGCACTCATCATCTTGTGCAAGAATGTCTCCCATAAGGTTCCGCACAAAAACAGCTGGTATAATTATTAGCAAAGATGGGGGTGCGATTACAAACAAATCGCGTGACATATAAGAGTGGTGAATTTGATTGCCGCATGTTCAGAATAAGGATACAATTTTTTATCACACTGAATAGCTCAATGAGTTATCAGATTGGTTAATTTTGTGTGTTTCTTTTGCTTCTGTTTATCTACCACACAAATAAGGAAAGAATGCTAATATTTATCGGTCGTTGTCTCGGCAAAATTTGACAAAGTTGGGCAGCGAGGATGGGGCGTGGCAGACAAGTGTGTACCTCAGTGTAATTTATTATCAGATTCTTCGCTTTGCCTTTTCTTACAATATACGCACGCCTGGTCCTGTTTGGGGCATATTAATCAACATATGCTATTGTTTAGGAGGCCATGTTGGACTGGCAGGCTCACACCCAAAATGCCGTGACCACTGGCCCCGCAAATTCTCCGGCTTCATTAATCATACACGCACTCGTATATTATGTGGGCACTGGGAAAATTTCCCGAACGCGCATTTATCAGCGTTAGACGCGGTATGTCCACGAGTGGCATCGTGCTACCCATCGTGCGGCCTTCGTTTCATGCTGTCGCAGTATCGGCGACGTAAACTTGGGCGTGTCGTCGCATCGGAGCTCTTTGGGAACCGTTCCCTTTTGCCTGTACACATACGTACCTTCCGGTGAATGCTGCAGGTACGAGCTCCTATAATAACCGACCGCGCTGTAACAATCTGCGTTTATGCGACATTTGTCTCTCGAGCTTATTCGTCCCCTGCAACGCGGCTCCTCCATATTGGCGATGATGTTGTTTGAATGCGTTGCGTCACGATCACGAATCTTTAATTTTTTTCAGCGCGCCGATGTCTCTAGCGTTCAGACATTCGCCAGATGTCCAAGCTTCCGTTTCCCCGCAGTCATTAACCAAGTGTTATTGGTCGGCCCCGGTGGCATAGTGGTTGCGGTGTTCGGCTGCTGACCCGCAGGTCGCGGATTCGACCTCGGCCGTGGTGGTCGCATTTCAATTGAAGTTCAATTGAAGTTAAACGGTAGAGGCCCGTGTACTGTGAGATGTCAGTGGACGTTAAAGAACACCACATGGACGAAATTTATGGAGCCTTCCCCAACGGGCGTCTCTCATAATCCAATGGTGGTTTGGGTACGTAAAAATCCCGGACATGAACAAGTGTCGAAATGAACAAGTGTTCATTTCACAGTGCGAGCTTCATGTATCTGTGCCAGACAATTGCCCCGAAATGGAGCTAAGCTGCACTCTTTGCATATCGCTAATTGTCTGGCTAATATAAGATGACTCGTGAAACTTTGTTTTGTTATTACATGGGCATATTGAGGGTCTCGTATTTCTTCAAGTAATTGATTGATATGTGGGGTTTAACGTCCCAAAACCACCATATGATTATGAGAGACGCCGTGGTGGAGGGCTCCGGAAATTTCAACCACCTGGGGTTCTTTAACGCATGCACCCAAATCTGAGCACACGGGCCTGCAACATTTCCGCCTCCATCGTAAATGCAGCCGCCGCAGCCGGGATTCAATCCCGCGACCTGCGGGTCAGCAGCCGAGTACCTTAGCCACTAGACCATCGCGGCCGGCGGGGCATTCCTTCAAGTGAGAGAGAGAAAGAGGTTAATGAAAAAGGAAGAGATAAAAAGGGTACTATTTGCTACTTCTCGTCGAGGGGCCACGGTAAAAATAAGAACAGAAGAGATTAAGAAAAAGTGAGAGGCAATGGCAAGAGAGAGCCTTGTCAGTGCAGTTTGTAGTACGAAGCGAAAGCGTTCGTCTATAAGGCGGCGAGGTCCACAGACGCAGAGACCTCGCCGCCTTACAGACGAACGCTGTTGCGAAACAGCTTATTAGCACGTTGCGTACGACGAGGGCAAGAAGTGTACATAATATCATTACGCAAGCTTATTCCATGCGCGCAAGCAGCACAAACACAATGTGCGCTAGCGTGCGCACGTGTGTGTGTGTGTGTGTGTGTGTGTGTGTGTGTGTGTGTGTGTGTGTGTGTGTGTGTGTGTGTGTCATCGCTGATATACCTTCGTGGAGCCATCATAATGATACGCAATGTTAATTCTCGCGTAAAATATGAACCAGAGAGCACTGCAGAAAAGCCGCATTGCTCGACTTGCATGTACAATATTTGTGATAAAAAAAGGGGCAAACTGAATCAACTCACCAAGCATCTAGTTGCAAGAAGCGTTTGTCTGTGTCAGTAATTTTTGAGCAAACAAACATTGTAAGTATTTCACAAATGAAGTGCGAGATACAAACAGTGCAATTATCGTACACATAACTGGAGAATGTCTGGTGAATAAAACCAGTAAAGGTTAGATCTTCTGACTTACGCATCATTTCCGTAGAAGTTTCAAGTACTCGTTTTGCTGTTTCTCGCATTTTCGCGTTTACAAAGAAAAACGTGAGAACTCCTTTCGATGTCCACATTCGTGACGTGAAAATGCGGCCATCGTGGACAACTATCGCAACGCCAGAGTTTCTCTGAGCCTAACGAAGTCCACGTTCGCAACATCACATAACGCATTCATGCTTCATGTGAGTAAGCTGTGCGATGAAGCCGACCTAGGCCATGAGGATTTATAGTAGTCTAAATGAATAATTACAACGCTATGCAACTGTGCTGCGAAATAAAATGCAGCGTATGCCTCCCACATTTACTCACATGCACAGAAAAGCAAGTGGTGACTTAATTCCGGATGCGCGACATTTCAGTGGCAGAGTAAGTCCAGAGGACGCACTGCTCTCGCTGTCTTCCACTGCCTCTCTAACCCTTTTGTGTGTGAAATATCAGAGAAGCACACTCTCCTAGCATATCTGAACAATATCCAAACAATATCTGAGCGATGCGTCTTTTATTTCTTTCAATGCCACTGCGAACGTGCGCTTCTCAATGGGAGCCGTCGGTTAGTTCAAGAAGTGGTCCTGATGCGACGCCACATGATGGGTAGTGCTACTTGCATCCCACGCGTATCCGAACGCTTTGACCCGGAGATGCGATAAACATATTTCCCATTTCATTATCATAAATCTGTCAGACTTGCTCATTCGTGTTCATCCTTTGTGGCTGTTAAAGCCACAAAAAAGAGAACTTGTTAAAGCCAGCGCATGCAGTAGCGTTGCAGTGACACTTCCCCATTGGTTGCCCGCATAGTGCCACACACAGCGACAAGCTATCTCAATAGACCATGTCTTTTACAAAGCCAGCGTGACTGCCAACGTTGTCAACACGAGGAATGCAAGACGCCGCCCCACTGACCTGTACACAACTGAACAAAACGTTACTTCATACGATTTCCGTCGTGAGGCCCTCTCTCCCCCGTGACCACAAAGCACACGCAGAGGCTAAGCGATGGGCGAGAGCAAGAAAGAGCATGAGGAGACGGTGTTGAAGAGCTGTATCTGGCACTACTGGCTGGAAGTAATAAAATAGAGGAGGCACTGATCTGAAGATACAAAGAAAGAGAGCATTGTTCTATGCTGCGGCGTGTCTTGTTTTTTTTCGGCTCATTACGAGACGGTAGCAGTGACGCCATCATCACACACATGACGTTCGGGTGACGTCATGAAAAGATAAGCTCTCGATCGGAATATATACTCGAGGGATGTCTGTTTTCAATTGTCTCCAACTGTGCTTTGCCATGCGCTCGCGCATCCTTTCTGCGCTGTCTCGCATAAATGTGCACGATCAAATGATTTCATTTTGTTTTGAGCGTTTTTGACTGCGCAAGCGGAGATACTAGCGTGTACCCAAAATGCTCGAAATCTAGATTGGCTCAGTGCTTTTTGCTGGCATTTTGCATGTACTTTATGAAGAAACAAGCTGCGAGGAGGAGATAGCTCCAGTAGGGAGCGTGGCCAAAGCGAGAAACAAACCACTTCCTCGTCGTTGAATGCGGGGTGGTTTAGGGGTCCTTTAAGAACGTTAAGTGATATTTTACAGTGCCTTGAGCTGAGAAATTGGTTGGTTGGTAACAACTTTATTGATCTTCTGAATTTTATCTGTGGTACTTTTTAGGGAGTTTATGCTTATGAGCTTTCAGTCTTATCATCTGAACAAGCTCTCTTTTTTAATGCAGTGTTTTTGCGTGAAGCTTACAGCTATGAAACTCGGCACTCTCGTTTTCCGTAATTACGTACAGTTGGCAAGGGATGCAGACCGATATAATTTCTAAAAAGCGAAAGAGGATAGGCAGCTCGGGAACATTTACTCGTAGCCCGGCCGACAGCGAGTAACTGTTTGCTTTCCTATTTCCAGAACAGCGCCTGTCTACAACCCTTTCCCGTACGCATCACTCCAATTGCGCGTGAGGTTGTCGCTACAATTAAACTTTTACAGGGACCATGCAAAGGTTCGCGTGACCGCTGGAAGTTTTACGCGTTCAGCAGCGAATCCCAAGCACCGCGAAGTTACTGACACCACAGAGAACGCTGTAGTTTCCCTTATCTCTATAACGGTCGCGCGCGGTTTCTCCACTCTTATCGCACGGCGCATGCTCGAAGACTATGCGTACAAGCCTATCGCAAGCCGCGTCGTTGCCACGCCCTCGGAGGACGCAATCGGCCCTGAAACTGGTCGGACTGGAGCAACGGTGGCGACTGCTGCCGTTGCATGTTTTTGTTGACCTCTCTCTCTCTCTCTTTCTCTCTCTCTCTCTCTCTCTCTCTCTCTCCACAGGGACGTTGTCCCTGTTTCATCCGGAAGAGCGGTTTGGCGCATACAATAGGAATGAACGCGACTGCGTCCCCGCGATCTGATCAAGGGTGGAGAAAGTGATGTATAACGCACAACCAAACGGGCCCCCGGTCAAGGGCCACCGCGCCCAGCGGCTTCCCGCTGTCACTTTGGCCGTCAGCCGGGCCACGCATCGTGCCCTTTGCACCATGCTTTTGTCCGAATTCTGGCTAACAGCATGAGCTTTCTCTCTGGGTTCAATCAGAACAATTTTCTTAGAAGCGAATATTTTTTTTTTACTTTCGGTGTACGCAAGCATTAGAGTACACATGAGCATTATATTGATTCAAGCCAAATCTGAAGGACCTACGTGAAATTATAGGTGATTGGAAAGAAGGGCGTCGCGCTGCGAAGAATGCACCTGCTGGCATTGGTGGTGTGCGGGCAGAAAACAATGAATAAACAAAACAGACGAACAAAACCTTAAGATTGCCCTAATCAATCGTATCTCAGCACAAACCTGTGACTTCTACTGAAATTCGAAATGAGGAGAGCGGGAAATGCGATGTTCCCCCCCCCCCCCCAAAAAAAAAAAAAAGGCGGAACAGAGTTTGTTTCCGAAGTTTGACGTTTGTTAAAGGGATCGTTTCCTATCGCCCCATTAACAATGAACGTGGATAGACGGCACGAGGTCAAACTGTCGCAATCAAAGCAACAAAACTGACTTAATGCGAAGGATGACATGCTAAATCTTCGCGGCGCTGATGCGATTAACTAGTGTATCTATTTTAAATATCTTAAAAAATAAAACAAAGATGCATAAACAAACCTTCACTCATCATCATTTGCCTCATGAAGCCGGAAGTACTCATTCTGTTTTTTCGAACCTAAAAGTAATATGATCCTCATTGATTGCAATCTGCCCATATATTAAGCAAAACACCATTTTTGTGAGGTCGCTCTAATGGCTTTGCCACTTTCATGCACCGAGAGAACTGAAAAGAGGCGGCGTAGTCACGCTTCTGTTTGCGTACCTAGAACTGAAAAAAGGTATATAATGAATTCAACGAGTGAGACTTGCAGGATGAATTTACTGCCTCTACGCAACGCATTTATTTTGTTTCAAAGTATTCTTATTGCATTTCTATCCTATTTTATTTAGTAATTGTGCTTCACACTAAACTCGCAACAAAGCAGAAAGCTGGGCGAGTCAATGTGTATTCGTCATTATGGATAAGCGCGAACTGACGACTGAGACAAAGAGAGAAGTACACGACGCGAGCACTTGCCTTCAACTAAAGTTTAGTGAACGAAGACAGAAGAAAATAACATACTGAGTGCCACAGATGCTGAAAGTGAGCGATTTTACCGTGTCTCTCTTGGTTCCCGTCGTCGGTGCACGCCCTTCGGAAACGATGACCAAGCTCGCACAAAACACCGACCAATGTAGGCAGAAGAAATTTTTTCTGGGTGATGCACGCCGTGTTGAAGAAGCCAGCCGGTAGAACAGGACGCCTGTATCGCGTACTCGAAGTAACCAGGCAGTAACCGTGCTGGAGGCGAAAAACTACAGTTCATATTACAATGTCTGGCATCTAGGCCATCGCAGGGGCTTATTAACGCTTCGGGTGGCGAGGAAGATAACTGATAAGCACAGCACTCGGCTTATCGTGGCGTTATCACACTTCGTTGCTGGTATGCCACAAAGTTCGTGAATGTCCTCCTGGGAGGTCATCGCTGGTGAACGTAATGAAGGTCATGTTCACTCGCGACGAATGTACAGGTCTCATGTCCTTCAACTCTTTAGGACATGAGACCTGTTCCTGCGGTTACAGACTAAGGATGATGTCCTGACTGTGAGGCATATAACTTGGTGTGTGAGTGCTCTCTTCTTTCTGTTTCTCCCTCTTTCTTTATCTTTAAAACTCCCCCACCCCTTTTTCCAGTGTAAGGTAGCATGCCCGGTCCTTCTAGACTGGTTGACATCCCTGCCTTTCCTTTCTTCCCTGTTCTTGCCTTCCTTTGGAGGCTTTGTTAATGCTGTGCAGTGCCGTATTCTTAACTTTAAAGAATAAACTGTTATTGAATGAGGCCTTTCTTCAGTTCAATCAAAATAATGTGCAAAGAAAACTGTACACAAGCGGGCGGAAAGGCTCAATAGTAGTAGTGGCCATTGGTGAATTACACTGTCCCCAGGCCGTCTTATTTGTCTCTTTGTGGTAGTGACAGAGCGTATAAAATTGCCTACTTATACGGTTTTCGCATTCGCAGGAGTGCGTACCCTCGCTGCACGTGGACGACACGGCAGACTGGCTGGAGCAGGATGTCATCGCCGGCTTCCGAGTATGGCAGCTCATGTTCCTCTCTCTCGGAGGCCTCATCGTCGTCGGTAAGACTCATCTCTTGACGTTGTGTCTTTTGACCGGTGTGACCGTGTTACACGTTGTGCTCGTTCTGCCAGGTACTGCCAACATGCTCAAACCTCTGCACCTGTGAATACCCGTGTCCCCGTTTCTCGCTCTTCGCTCGCCCTGTCACCCACTACTAACTCGTCGGAATCCACAATAATTGATAAATAATGCTTACTTTGCAATATCAATTGATGCTAATTGGTGTTGAGTGAGATTAACACGCTCACGTTGTTGACGTCTCATAGTCAGTCTGGTTTCAATTTTTTTTTGGCACGTGCGTATGACGATTTACCAACTCACCCCGCAAGCTACCCTTAGCTACACGCTCTGTGTTGTTCTAGAGACACCTTGTTGTACTTAAGCCATTCTGTGAGATTAAGTTAGTACATTTTTTTCAACTGTACTGCACCGCTTTCCCTGAAAGTCGCACCGGCATATCCTTCAAGAACTCTAAAGTTGCTGACTGGGTTTAAAATATCCAGTGGCAATTTTTAACACAGGATCAAGGGTATCTTAAAGTGTGGATACGGGATCGGGACCATTCATTTCAAATCGCCGATGGTTCAGAGTATAGGTGTGTTTTTTATCTGGCGTGAAAAAAAAATGTTAGCACAATATATCGCTTTGTTTTTCTCTGAAGAAATAATTTGGTCAGTATTATCAAGCAGTGTAAATTCAAACTTTGTGCAATGAGCTATGAAATGTCACGTAGTGATAGGTTTATTTGTATTGAACCGTATAGTATAGCCATTATAGTATCGCGCCATCATTTTCCCACAACAACCCCTTTTCACCCTACAAGATGTTGTTTTGCTTCACTTTTAATGTAGTGCGTACGCAGTGAAGCACTCTTGCCAGTTACAACTTGGTTTGATTTTTGAGACGGGAAACCAATCTAAATAACAAGAATGCCGTAAAAAAATAGGAAATACATTATTTACGCCTCGCAAAAAAACTTTTATGAATTATAAGTGACGCTGCATTACGAGCATGGAGGGCAGCTGTCTAAGTTTGTTTCTTCAATTATTACATCAATCACCTTTTTTTTTTGTCTCCAACACGGACAACTGTTCAAGACTTATGAAATTACAACCGATTTTGTATGATGCGGCACTCGTTCAAAAAAAAAAAATGGCTTACAGCGTAGCTATCTTTATGAGGCAGAAGTTAAGAAAAAAAGATTGAAGCTTGAAGAGATGACAGGCTTTAACAGAGGAATGTCATTGGTGCAAACGTTTTAACGAGCATACCTGTCTTCATTAAGTCAGTGTTCATCATTTCAGCGTATCAGCCTCGCTCAACGCATCTTTCGGGAACAAATATTGAACGTTTTAGATTGTTGGTCAGCGAAGTGCCATCACCATATTCTCGATACCATAGGTTGGTGATCTCACCTACGAGTCGACTCACTTGAACTCACTGAGACCCAGATCGAGCCGTGAGTATGAGTAAGTCGGTGTGGGTATATTCTGGTAATTTTAGTCCGAGTGAATCCAGGTGAATAAGGAACCCCACGCCGAGTTCCCTTCTGCTAGCCAATTTATGATAGCAAAAGACATTCCCATTCTATAGCACTGTAAAGGCCTCATATGTCCTCCTAACATCACTGAGCCCTACTGCATCCCAATTAACATCCTCTATCTCCTCGAATAGTACAGCTAGACTTGCCTCACTGGCTAAGGTTCTAGCGTTAAACATTGCCAAGTTCACGTTCCAATGGCGGTCTGTCTGTACCCAGAGATTCTTAGCACCCTCTGCTGCGTTGCAGATCTGACCGCCACCATGGTCAGCTGCTTCGCAGCCGCTGGGGACTGAGGGCCATTTGTCAGTTGACGTATGCATGTGGGAGGAGTCTTGTTGAAGAAAATCTTAGTCCTTGTGAGTCCGAGTGAGTCCGGTTCAAGAAAACTTTGGTGAGTGGAGTCTGAGGGAGTCTCAAGCTCAAGACACATTTCTAGAATGTGTTCAAGTGAGCTACACTTTTTTTGCGACCTATGCACGGTATTTACGTTATTTAATACAGGAGGAAGAAAGCGAAAAATGTCATCTATTCTTGGTCATCATGCAGTTTACGTATCTTTATCACTGACAGAGTGAACGATGAAATCAGAAAGGTTAGTCATGAAGTTGGCTATCCTGCATTGGACGATTGAGTAATCGCAGAGAGTGGGTGACACAGGTATACTCGTATACTCTGAATGACTGCACCCTCATGCATCGGCCAATAGTCGATGCATGCGGCCAATACCAACTAGTTTAGTTCGGAGGACAACGTGGAGCCGAGTAACTTCGAATATTGGAAAGGTTGCCTCCTCTTTCTTAAGCACTCCTTAAACAACGTAACTGATACTTAGTTTGTGCAAATAAAGCATCCGAAGAGATTGTTTAAAAAGGAACCACATGAACTTCATTTTCGTTTCGTTTTTTTTTTTTTTTTCAGTGGTGGTGATGTGCTGCTTTATGAAATGCCGCATTCCGAGAACGAAGCAAGAGATCGAGGCAGACTTCCATCGAAAGAAGCTCACCCAAGTTTTTAGAAAGCATCTGAACAAAGTGCCCGTCGAAGAAGTCGAATTTAAGTTAGGTAGGTATTGGCCTCCTTTAGTAAAGTTGACCAACATAAATATTACATGTATCTGCCTAATACACGCATCATTATCGCTGTTAGTTTACAACGCTGAGACTCGACTATCGTCAACATTTCTCTGGGCTCATACATACATGCATATATATATTGTAGTGGGGATTCGCAAGGCAATGATAGTGGGACCATCGCTGAGTGCGAAGCGCGAGCACGAGCTGTAGACACTGGACTGCCCGAGCATTTGTTTCTGTACCAGCTGTCTGCCTATTACCTGGCGTCGCTAATAAACCCCCTTGCAATATATATATATATATATATATATATATATATATATATATATATATATATATATATATATATATATATATATATATATATATATATATATATATATATATATATATATATATATATATATATATGCATACATACATACAAAATGAAGAACAGAACTGAGCGTGAACAACTCCAGTTACCATCAACAGTAATGTCAAGCATGTTGAGAGCGAAAGTGCTTTGCAATTAGTGTGAGATAATTATAATCAGGAAATGCATTTTCAACCTTGAACTCACTGCAGAATTCCAACCGTTTCCCGGTATTCTGTGAAATCTTAGTTTATAAACGCCCTTCTAATTTTTTTTCTTCTTTCAGTACCTCTATCTTTGCGTCCTCTTCCCAACGCCGATATATCCCTATCCCAGAACAAGCAAACTCTGATGTGGCAGACCTCTCAGACTTTACGATTGTTTTGTTTTTTACGACTGCGTTTATGATGAAACAAAATTGAAGGACATCCTTGCTATTATATCAAGAAAGAGAGAAGGAGAAATTCAATGAAACACACGGTAAATGTAGGCGCAGTGCATCGGGTGATCAAGTTAATGCTGTGAAACCGTGTCGCTTCACCTCAATGCCTCTCACAGCCCAGCATCCATACCTTGGTTGCTTACAGGCTCACAGCACACCAGCCTGAGTGACTGACAGCAACTCTGCTGTGCGTGCTTTTGTGTGCGAGCAATGTTAACTCACTTATGTGTGCTCCTTGAGGTTGCATTTGTTTTATGTCAGACTGAATTCTCAGTTGGTTTACCGTACTGCTCTTGCACCTATGTTTTTCTCTCTCTTATTGGTTTGTAAGAAAGGAAGGAAGGAAAAACTTTATTTGCAAGGGTTTGGGACAGGGGTCATGAGCTTGATGGGTGGGGCCCCCAAGTCCAGGGCTCCACTGGCTGCCGCCGTCTGTCTGACGTGCCGCAGAAGTACAAGCTGCACCTCTGGGTCAGAGCTGGCGAGCTGTGCCTCCCATTGCTCGAAAGTATTACAAAGCTTGTACTGACCTAAAAAGGTATATCAATTGGGTGGTCGTTTTAGGCATCCCCACGAAATGTGGTAGAGCGATGGCGAGCCGCCACACCACGGACAAGCACGCCCATACAGCGTTGGAAAAATTTTGTGTAACCTTTGAAGATTAGGAAAGACCCCCGTTTGAATTCGGCGGAGGTCAATTGCGTCCTCCCCTTCTAATGATTTGTGGGGGGCGCTGTATTTTTGTCGCATGCCTCGCTGGTTAGCAAGAATTTCGCGAGGGGCCATTCTGGATGTGTCATTATCCTCCTCGATAGCATCCTCCTGGAGTGTTTCAAAGGATTGAATGTGCTGTCGAAGCTCTGCTCGGTTCGTGAGCCCTCGAGCACAAGCGTCAGCACTTTCGTTTCCCTCCAGCCTGCGTGTCCTGGACACCAGATCAGTCTGTATTTGTTCGTCAAGCTCCCGCCTAAGAACTTGCTTATTTTTAACGGAAGGCGGCCTCTTAAAAAGAAACGCACGCTTCCTGCGAGTCGGAAATGATAGTTGTCTGCGGTTCATCTCTTTGTTCCTGCGCTTTGATTGCAAGGGCAATGGCAAAGCATTCCGCCTTGGCGATCGAGGACGTGTACAGTGATGCACATGTCACCATGCAGTTGCCGTTGCTAAGTACCGATGCAACTGACCGTTTAAAATTGTACCTTGAAGCGTCCACATACAAAACATTTGATTTGTTTTTTAATGTTTTTCGGAGCCATCGCACTCTCTCCTCTCTACGCTTTCTGTTTGTTTTTACGTCGATGTTCTTGGGCAGCGGTGAGATTGAGATCTGCTGCGGACGGGATCCGGGATTTCTACAAGAACCTCGTCCATTTTCTGGGGGTATGGCGGAAAGCCCACCCTAGAAAGTATCTCTCTCCCCGCTTTCGTTTGACTTAGGCGATTTCTCTGCGCAGTCAGTACCGCTGTCTTTAGCTCAGGTATGTATTATATATACCGAGGTCCAAAAGCTTTTGGGTTGGTGTGCTTACCGGTAGCCCTATGGCCACTTTGTAGGCGCCCCTAATTATGGACTCGATGGTTTCTTCTTCTGATTTCTTTAACACGGGGAAGGTAGACTATACGTAACCTTACACAGTACAAGTGCCAGTACTAATCTAATTGTGTCTCCTTCCTTCATGCCCTGTTTGTGGCATGTTATTCTATGGATCATTCGTGCAACTTGTTTCGTGACTGATTTTAATATGGTTATTGTATGATTCTCTCGTCCATTACTTTGAACCCAGTAACCCAGAATACGTGCGACGGTCACCTCACGTACTTTGACACCTTCAATGTTTATGTATGCCGTTACTTTTGTATCTTTTTCCATGTACCCTGATAATTTCAGATTTTTCTGGGGCACAGCTGAGCCCGCTTGCCTTCGCGAAGTTTTCAACTGCTGCTGCAGCCTCTTGAAGTGTCTGCTCTTTGTTAGCTAGAGATCCACGCATTGACCATAGGGTGATATCATCCGCATAGAGAGTGTATCCTAACTGCGGAACTCCATCCAGAGCTCGCGTGAGTCCTAACATGGCGATATTAAAGAGCAGGGGAGAGAGGATGGCTCCTTGAGGGGTACCTTTGTTTGGCATCTCAAAAGCGTCTGACGTGCCTTGTGCTACGCTTATCGAAGCCCGCCTTTCTGTGAGGAATGCCTTGATGTAATTGTAGGTGTTTGTCCCACATCCCATGTTGTTTAATTCTGTTAGGATGGCCTTATGCGAGATATTGTCGAATGCTCCTTTTAAATCAAGGGCTAGTATTAGATGTTCTCCTCCTGTTGGTATATAGCTCAATACTTCCTCTTGTAATAGGAGAAATGCGTCTTGGGTGAGAGGCCATTGCGGAAACCCAGCATAGTGGCTGGAAAAAGGCCGTTGTCCTCTATAAAGTTTTGGAGCCGATTATGAATAACCCTTTCGAAAGCTTTCCCATGCATGACGACAAAGATATGGGCCTGAGTGCCTGCAGAGAGGGCTTCTTCCCGGGTTTCGGTATCGTAATAATTTTGGCTACTTTCCATTCCTCGGGTATCTTCCATTTGAGCCAATACTTGTCATTAAAATGGTTTGTCAGTGCCTCTATAACCTTATCGCTGAGGTTCCTTATCATTGCATTTGTGATTTGATCTGAGCCAGGGGCAGAATTTCTCTTGGCTGCTTGGGCAGCCGCAAGGACATCTCCCGTGGTGATTGGGGCGTTCGAGTCTCTCGTTTTTCGCACCAGTGTACTGCATTTCAATACTGCAACTATCGGTATTCTCTCCTATGTATCTGTCCCTTAAGTGCTTGTATTAACTCCTCCTCTGTGCCCGGAAAATCATGCATTATTCGTTGTAGTGTTCTGTTCGAGGCCGATTTTGATTTTTCTGGGTCAAGCATGTTCCTTAGGATGGCCCAAGTTTTCGCAGTGCTCAGAGTGTCCTGTAGTGAACTGCAGAACTGGATCCATCCCTCAGTTGCAATTTTGTTAGCGTATTGATTTGCCTCCTCTCCTAAAGCAGCGATTTTGCGGAGAAGGTTCCGGTTGAGTCGCTGGTTTTTCCACTTTTTCAGCATACGCGTCTGCTCTCCCACAGGTGGAGCAGGTGCCTGTCGACTGCAGGAGTCTCTGCTGTTCTTGTGATACGTTTAGATGTTTGTTTGTGAACTGAGATTATGTACTCTGACCATTCCCCAATCGACTCCGGTACAGAGTCGGGTGAGGGATCACGTCGTCTGTATCTTTCCCAGTCAGTGATCACCACGTCTCCTATGACCCTGCGTAGTTTTGGAGTTGAGAGGGAAATACTGATTATGTAGTGATCGCTGCCGAGATTTTCTTCCAGGTTTGTCCAGTTAGCGTCGTTAACATTACGTGTGAATGTCAGATCTGGGAACGTGTCTCGACTTACGCTGTTACCCAGCCTCGTAGGTGTTGTGGGTAGAGTAATTAAGCTCAATCCTAGTTTCGATACGGCGTTTTCGAGACGTGTTCCTTTAGGGAATCTCTCGAATAACCCCATGTGGTGCTGGGTGCGTTAAAGTCACCCAATACCACAAGTCGATCTTTCGCCCCTGCAATACCGACGACATTTTTAAGCAGTACACCAAAGTCCTCGTGTTTCTCTTTGGGAGGGCTGTATATATTTAATATTACGGTTTTCACTTTGCCTCTCTTCAGAGGAAGAAGGGTGATTATCTGATGATTTATCCGCAGACTTTCTATGTGCTCAACCTTTGCTGCAATACTTTTGCTAACCAGCGAGGCTACGCGGGGATAATTTGGATCTTGCAAACATAATATCCCTGCAGTTTGACCATCTTGGGCCCAACCTCCTGCAAGAATATCAAGTCTGGCTGAATTGGTACCGAGTTCATGTAATTTTGGAGTGCTGCGGCGCGCTTGTGAAAAGTGCGACAGTTCCACTGCCAAATCTCTAAATGTTTCTACACTTTTTATATTATTTTTGGCCATGCTGCATCGTCATATCCATGCTGTCGCGGCCCGCTTTGGATGGTTTGTCAATACCTGGAGCGGACATGGAGCGTTTGTTTAGTGCCCTCTGCAAGCCTCTCTTTTGTAATAAATGTTTTCATCATCATCTGCAAGCCTCCCACAGCATCGTTAACATACTGCCTCTGAATTTTCAGTTCTTCTACGACAAACGTTTTCATTTCCGTCATGAAATCACTTAAAGTTTATGTAAAGTAGCTATGCTTTCCCTGTTTGCTTGAACCTGTGTCTGCCCTCGCTTTACTAGTTCACTGCTTTCTGATTGATTAGCGAACGAGTCTTGTCTATCGCTTCCGCGCTCGTTTCTGCACTATCCTTCATGTGGGCTAGACGTTCTCGCGCCTCTTTATTGCTCACGGTGGGGTTGCCTATCGACCCTGGGTTTTGTATTTTCTTAATTGCATTTCTAATTTGATTTCCATTGACGAGATGGCCATATTATACTCTTTCCGCTCCGCAGTCATTTGATTTCTAAGCTGTTTCATTTCTTGTGTTAATCTTTTGTTCTCCTCTAGAATTTTGCTATACTGTGGGCTATCAGTTGCAGGAACATTGGGAGGCACTGGACTCGCCCAGCTCACCTTGTTTGGTTGGTGTTTTGTACGTCCTGCGTACTAAGGCCAGTGGTTGCTGCTACTGCTTCTTCTTTCCTGGCATGGGCGGAGCTTGTTTCCAAGCTGCTGCTCGGTGTTTTCTTCAAGTTTGGCTTGCCAGGAGCCTCCGCAGGCTTGCTAATATTCCGCTGTTGCGGGGCCTTTGATGATGATCTCGATCTTGATCGTGATCTGGAGTTGGATCTAGATGCCTGCCGCGTCTGGAGCGTCACTTCCTCTCGGTCTGAGCTGAACCAACGAGGAGGTTTCTGCTGGTGTTGCTCAGATGGCGGGAAATCCTTCTCGGCATAGGTACACTCTGTTTGTCTTCGAGGCGTCTCCACTCGTGATTTTCGGGGGGCCACATTTTTCAGTTTCTTTTTGCATGATTTGTCTCCTGTAGCGTGCTCTTCACCGCATATGGCGCAGTTCAGGGCACATTCATGTTCTTTAGTAGGATCACACGTCCCACACTTGGAGCACACATTGGCGTTCGGAGTCGGGCACACGTCGGTTCGGTGTCCAGTTGATCGACAAATCTTACAAACCTGTACGGTAGGCTTGCATGGATAACAGATCGCCTCTGCACCCAAAAAATAGACACACCTGGGGAGCACGTCACCCGTAAAAGTTATATTGCTGACTTCGAAGAGCCCAGCATTCTGGATCTCTCTATCTTCACCCCTTGTGTCCGTATTCGTAGGTTTGCCATCAGGTCGGCCTGAGTGGTTCCGGGCGGTAGTCCGTGAACGATGCCTCGCAGCACGTCTTCTGGGTCGGCCACGTACGCATTGAAGGGGTGAATCCGTCCTCTGATTTTCAATTGATTGATCTCTCTCAGCCTGCCCGCCACTTGTTCGAGTGGCGTGGACAATATTATGATGTTCGATCCGGGGTGGACCCGCAGCAAAAAACTTTCTCCTCCAAAGCTGTTCCGGCAGGCCTCTATCACTGCCATAGAGAGCTCGGATCCAAATAGATTTTCACTGTGAGGCCCTTGTGCGGTCTCAGGATAATCTTATGTCTTCCTTTGGAAGGGGCGTCGGTCCTCGGCGTTTTCTGCGCTGGAAATCCCGCTTGACTTGGCTGTCCCGTGCTGCGTCGGCAAGCGGATGGCCTGCTGACTTTTCGTTTTTCTTCTCTAGTTCCTTCTCGGGTTCTTTCTGGATTTTTAAGGTTCTTTTTTCTTCTGCGTGAAAGGACGGTGTGCCAGCCGTCCTCCGTCCAAGTAAGAGCCAGACCCGCGTCGTCATTGTTCTTGTTATCGAGAGACGCGGCGCTGGGCGCTCGCGCGTCGTTACTTGGTTCCTCATTTGACAAGACGCTGTTCGCGTCGCTCGGTTGATTCTCCGACACCAGAGATGCGCCGGGAGGGTTTTCCGTCACGTCCATGTAGACGAAGAATTTCTAGGCGTCCTTATGCATGCATGCTCCGTAGAAACAGGGGAATGGGCCGACCTCCGTTTCTTCTGCGCAAGACGCATAGTCCGAAAAGGAGGTTAAATGGCACTCACCATTGACTTCCACCTTGGTCAGAAAATGTCGGAGAAAGTCGGTCGAATAGTGGTGAGCCAGTCGACGCACCCGTCGCCGCACCGCGCCCGGTTTAGCGTCCCGGCACCGCCGACCGAACCCGTGATACGGTAAGCTGCGTTCGTGCACGTCGTATCTTCAAACGTTGATAATTTCTCGTGAAGCTGGTCCAGGTCCCAGATTTTGGCGTCCTTCAAATCCTCGCAACTTCACGGAAAAGATGACGCACTCTTCAAGTAGACTTGAATAAAATTTCCGCTTGGAAGCGTTTCATAAAGCGGAGAGCGATGTGAGCACGTCCTCACCGCCCTACGCCACCTCCGGTGTAACACTATTGGTTTGTAAAACTTCATACTTCATTAATTCAAGTCCGACTGTTCCACATAAAACAACAGTGAATATGATTACCGCACTTAGCCTCTGCTCTCATTCTTCATCATTGGAGCGAGCCAAGGGAACGAAGGACAGAGGAGAGCAGTAATATGCACAATGGTTGGACAAATAACTGCGGCTTACGGAAAGCATTTCTCATCTTCAAAAACCAGGCGAGCATGCACAGCTCAAAACATAACAAAGCATCGTACAACACTGGTAACAAGATAGGACAAGTCGCTAACGCCAGTGTGATAGGGAGTGTAACTTCTACGCCTTTCTTCTGTTTCTTTGTTACATTTTTCGCGCGTCTACTTTTCTCTCCACTTTGGTTTTCATCTTTACCCTTTCCATCTCCCCTTAGTGCAGAGCTTTAAAGGGGATATAAATCTGGTTGGCCTCCTACCTTTCTCTTGTTTTACCCCCTCTCTCTCTCTCATCTGTACTTGTGATATAAGGTGCACCTATGCTATTATCCTTTCATATGATGATGTGACAGGCTTCCAGGATTTCACGCTTAATCTTTCCAATAGTTTTGTGTCCCACTTCTCGCTGTGTCCTTTGTTCTACTGACTCGTTCAAATTCCGAGGAATGTGCACCAACTCACCCAAATCATAACTCTGCTGTTCATCCCGCCCTCTATCGGTAAATATTGTTCTGTAAAAAACTCTCCATAATATCAGGTGGGGGTGGCCTAAGCACACCCCATTGCCATCCCTCCGTAAATGATTAAGCAGTGAGGAGCTGTGGGAAGCTGCCTTGCGCTGCTCCAAAACCATAGCCACCCTGGTTAGATCAGTGAAGGCTGTGGTGGCCTTCAAAAGTGTTGCTTGTTGGGCAAATTCGCACATACTTAAATTTAGAAAAAGCCACTAAAAACGTTGAAAAGAGAAAAATATCTCAGAGACAGACGCAGAGACAGTGACAAAGAGGTGACCAGCTAATGAAGCCATTGTATCACTGTGTCCCCTTTGGCCTCTCATATATATCTTTTCTTTTTCAAAGTTTTAGTGAGGGAGAACTACCCTGTGTAATGATTTCCCCCTCTCTCTATCTCTTCGCTCCTCTTCTTCTAAAAAGAAGAAATCAAGTTTTTTGCCAACCTACCTACGCACTGATGTGTGCTGAGGTTGTCTTAGAGAAACATTAGATTTGTTCTTGTTTTTACTTTTTTTGAATGAGTTTCATGTCACACTGACACAGAGTTCGCGTTGATTAACTATGTCCAATTTACATACTGCAGCGCTAGAGAAAGTGAAAGCCCTGTACGAGCACGAACAGGAGAAGCGGAGCCGGGGTTCCTGGGACTCGCTCGCCGAATGTGAGGACCTGACGCTGCGGCAGCGGCTGCGGAAGCTACTGCGATCGCTCAAGCCTAAGCCTCAAGCTGCCGTTCCTCGCGTAGCAAGCTCGGGTGACGACGCCGATTCTGAGAGCAACTCGGCCGGTGACTCACGCGCCGACGCCGCCAGCCACTCGGGTGGCACCATCCCAAGCAGTGAGGAGAGCAGCCACGCCGGCGGATGCCGCACCATACGAGAGGAGAGGATCTCCATCGAAGAAGATCCCGACGATGACGTACAGGCGTAGCCAACGTTGTAAACGCCCTGAATGTGCTTCGGCTGTTTTTTTCGTGATCGTGCCTCCTCCTTTGGCGTCGTGCGCTTATGCGATACAGAGACAACTGTTTCGGGTTGAAGTGTGTTACTTTTCGCGTTGTCTATTGTTATAGTGCTATCACCATCATCGTTATTATGATTATCATCATCACCAACATTGCTACAACCAACAACATCTTGTGTAACGTCCTCTGCGCGACGCATATCCGTTCTAGAGACCCCAAGTTTTTCCTGTCCTGCGCAAACTGACTATACCTCCTATGCCATGGTATGGCTGCTGTGGCTGAGCATTTGAAATCGTATCATTTCACCTGTAAATTATCGCTAACGACTTGCCTCACGACACATTTTGTTAATGCATTTGAGCACCAATGATCTCTCATGCTCTGCACTTGTTGTATCCGATCTCCACTTCTTTTTCATATGGCCGCGTCTTCGCGAATGAACCTCGACTCGGAATTCTTCCCAGAATTCACCTACTAGATCACAGCACCACTTATCGACTATAAGTGTACGCTGATTCTGAAAGAGGCATTCGGTCTTTTTTTTTTTTTGCGGCCGTGGCCTGCTTGAGAAGGGCGCGCCGACAAAGTTTTCGCTCAGGAATCGCCGTGTCATGTCGTGTAAGAGTAGTGGTTTTCTCAGAGGAGAGGCAGCACCGCTGGGAACTTTTCTTACTCAAAGAATGACGTCGTGTGATGAAAAAGTAGCTGCAGCGAGAATATCACGTGGCTCTTTTTTGCCCTATAAACTACAGTTTCGTGCCTGTTTACGTCTTAAAGCTACGCAAGCCTTTCAATTTTTCATCCATCACTCGCTGCGCAATGTATTTATCTGGTCGTTATACATAATATCCTGGAGATGGATAATCCATCATGACCACAGAAAAATCTTCCGTTGCATCAGACTCGACACGTCAACGCTCGTTTTCCTCGATGGTGGTCAGGCACAGGCAATGTTAATGCAAATAAAACAACCACAGCAGTGGAGGTGATAGCAATCACGGTGAGCAGGTTTTTCGGTGCTGTGGTATACCAAAAATTAAAAATAACGAGGAATGCATCTTGAAGGCAAGGGTTTTTTAAGAGCGTGTATAGGCGTATGGTAGACAACTCTATAGTGTGCGTCATAGTTTTGACAGACTCACAATCAACACGTAGATACCATTACAGCGGCAAACTTTGAGAGCCACGTATCACGTTTAGGATTGGAGCACGCCGATTCCTAGTTTACTTTGTTTGAGCTCACGGCAACAATTTTTACTGGGCAAACTGTAAGAAAACGCCCATGTGCGAGCACACGTGCTCCGAGAGGTGGAGTCGACACAGCGTTTAAGCGCCGCTCTGATTGTCTACACATTGGCTGAAGTACTCGGCTGCTGAGCTGCAGGATCGAATCACGGCTGCGGTGACCGCATGTTTGATGGAGGCGAAAATGTTGTAGGCCCGTGTGCTCCAATTCGGGCGCAAGTTAAAGAATTCCAGGTGGTCGAAATTTCCGGAACCCATCACTGTGGCGTCACTCATAATCATATGGTGGTTTTGGGACATTAAACCCTACATATCATTCATGCAATCGACAAAGCGTTAAAACACAAGCCTATAGCCCTGCAGCCCCCTCCCTCCACACACAAGACACAACACTATGCTGTATTAAAAATAAGGTTATACCACCATCGCACAACTATCTCACACTAGAGCCAGGTAGTCCAGCAGAAACTGCAAACGTGTCAGCATTTCAGTCTGCACCACGCCGTACATTCTGCAATATGCTCCTACAGATAGCTGTTATGCGAAGAATACGTGTATTTTATCTCACGTTTTCGGCATGCGCAAGCACACCCATGTCATGTTCCTTGATACATTAATGAGAGGCCAAGGATGCATGCAGTTATGCTCGACGAACCAGCTCGAGCAGGTTAGCTGACTGAGGAGGGCCGCAGATGTAGCTGCCATCCTGCAGAAGATGGCAGCTACAAAGTACGGCTCAGCTGACGTACTCACCCGATTAAAGCTGGAAGCGAGTATTCCTAGTTTAAAAAATGTGCCATGACAAGGTTCATATGGTTGCCGCTTTACCAACCATCGACGTTTGCACTTGTCCCGCCAGTGTGAAACAATAAAATTTCAAGGTGCACATGTGTGGATACTTATTTAGGCAGCTTTATGGTAATCGATGAGTTGAGCCTGTAAATGTGGAACCAGAAGAACCTGATATTCGCCAGTGGAAGTAATGCCTCGACAAGCCTCATATGTCCTAGCACACTCCGCGTTCTCGTGTATATGGGTGGTACTAATTAGCCGGTATGGTACAAGTGCATAAACTACACTGTACGGGAGCAGACTAGAAAAGTGTCTTGGTTGACAACGCTTGTAAACACATAATATACAAAACATAGGTGTTGGCCCAAATATGCACATGTTTCCTAAGTGTAAACACATACAAAACATTACTTGCTGGCCATTGCGTTATGCTCATTTTAAAGTAGCCTTTCGTGTTGTCGTCTATCCGTGTTGCGTTTTGCACTAAGGAGATTTTGTGGGCCGCTGTGATGACGGAGTGCTGATAAGCATGTGGAACAGACACAAGTAAAAAATAATGGTCGTGTATCTCTTTAACAATCTTTTTTTTTTGCACTGTGTAATAAACGATACTATAGGAGAGTTTAAGATGATCCTGCCCAACTCGTGTCTTGTCTACCATGTACTGTTTCCGGGGCGGTGCACCTCATGGCGTGGCTTGTGCGTTCCCATTGTGGCTAACCGCCCCTCGTTAATTCCTAAACCGGCCATAGAGGGCGGTGCTTGTACTAGACGCTGAAAATTGTAAATGGTACGACACGACAGGTAGTTACTTGTAGAAAAGAAGGATTGAAGTCACACGTACGGAAGGAGAGAAAGACAACCACGTGACTACAATCGCGTGTTCTTCGGCGGCACCGTACACCAGGGGGCGCTCAATAGTACAATAAAAGCGCCGTTTTGGCGTGCGCGCTCATTCATAGGCTCGGCGACGGAGGATGGACAAGGCTGTCGAGTGGCGTGCGCGCAGTGCGGCGGCTGCTCGCGCTCGAAGAAGGGACCCCGACGTGCGGTCGAGCGAGGCAGAACCGCTCGCGAAGCTGCGAGGCGGCGCCGCGAAGACCCTGCAGTACGACAACGGGAGGCCGAAACGGCGTGCGGACCCAGCTTCACCTCACTCTCCATCATTCACCCCGTGGATATGCTGTCATTTTTTATTTATGTATTACGTTTAAAATAGCAATTACTTCTCTGGTCCTCGCGTGTCAGTATACATACGTGTGCGCCACTCCTGTGCAATACACGGAACAGAACAAGAAAGAATGTTCTAAATTCATTGAGAAATTTGAATGAAAAGAAAAAGGTTTGTAGCTTTTTCAAACTCGCAACACGAAAGGCGAAATGTAGGTGCTATGGCAGAATAAGCAACTCAAATATTTTGATGACCACCTCGCCGCGTTGGTCTAGTGGCTAAGGTACTTGGCGGCTGACCCGCAGGTCGCGAGATCGAATCCCGGCTGCGGCGGCTGCATTTTCGATAGAGGTGAAAATGCTGTAGCCCCGTGTGTTCAGATTTGGAAGCACGTTGAAGAATCTTAGGTGGTTGAATTATCCAGAGCCCTATACTACGGCGTCTCTCATAACCATATGGTGGTTTTAAGACGTTGAACCCCACCTATCAATCAAATTATTTTGATGACAATCATATGAGATACCGAGAAAACGGGGCTGCTTTAAAATCTAGCAGGCGCCCACATGTGCTGATGTCTAATTTGGCTTGTTGCGTACAAGTCGACTTCAGCCCCTGGTGACAAGCACCGAGGCGAATGTATAGATTGGTTCGCTCATAGAAAGTACAGTCGAGTGCAGGGCGCGTCTGCATTTCCTTTTCTTGCAAATGCGTAGTCATTTAGATTGGCTCAAGTCTGGCGTTGGTTGATAATTCTTTCTTCTTTTGATCGTCTGGAGCCATGCACAAACTATGTTTCAACGTCAAGTTGCAGTTTCGAGGGACAGTAACATGAAAAGTGCTCATTCGAGTGTTCCCTTTAAAAGTGGACCGTACTGTACACGTTTGAGCAGCTTAGCATGTCGGTGTGTGTATGCCTAACGTTATGAGTGGTTATCATGCTGATTCAAAACTGCACCTTAACATATAAGTTAGTCTGACTGTCAAGAACATTATTAATTGGTTCTGAGGAGTTTTGGCCACCAGGGTGTCCACGAGGGACATCCCAGCAGCCGCTACTGTAGATGACGCCCGAGTCGAGGCGCAAACGTGGTTGTGTTCCACCACTTCTTGGGCCCCCTGGACTGGCTTTAGTTAGTGTAGGAGGTTGGAGCTCCTGAGTGCCTCCTCCCAGCTCGGACTCACTGGTGAGAGGTCCCTGAGTTAACGCGGGACATTGCCAGAGCATGTGTTGAAAACATTTTTTTTTTCAGAAGATACACTATATGTGTGTCCAGACTGTTGCCATGTAGTATATCTCCTAGACAAAAAATGTCCTCGTCTCGCTACGCTAACATGCTGGTGTGCGTACGTGAAGTTTTCGTGTTGATTCTTGCCTACCTTGGCTTTTCTCATATACTGCGCGAAACACTGCTTCTGAGTAGAACAAGCATCTGCACTGAACCGTGTTGTCAGATTCAGCAGCCGCTAATTTTAATGACGAAAGTTTATCGACGCATACAGTGAGGTGAGTGTACCGGGCCCCACATTCCCGAAGACGTCTTGCTCTAGAACTTTCTCTAGGGCCGAATTTCGGCCAATTGCTACGCTGAACATTCGATTAGCTGGGCCAGCTGACCAATCACAGAGAACACTTAAGAAGTCAAAGATTTTGTCGATTCGGTCTGGAATTTCTAAGACGATATAAATACTTAATAGCATGTGATGCTATATATTTATTCATTCGCTTTGGATACACATACGCATACGAAAAAAAAGCATGGCTGATCTCTCCTTTATTAAATTTGGTATAAGACGGAAGTGAAACTTGTACTTACCGATATAGTTGAATTTTTATTGTACATTGATATAAGAGGGACACAATGTATCTTGACACCAGGCCATTGAACTCAGAAAAAAATGTCGGTACCGACGTTTGAATTCTAAGCAAAATGCAACCCGGTTATAATATATACGCCGTTTGGATCTTTTTTTTTTGCATTTAACCTCATGATCTAAAGCACGCAGGCAATCGAGACCCTGCCGACCTTCTCGCGTTATTGCACGAAGTTAAAACGAATCACACTCAGTGCTCTTGGTACAAGCGGTAACGGAAAGTCTCAGAGAATATGTAGAAGTTCAAGCCTTGAATGAAAGCGACACCCACCGTATTTGAACTGTTTGGAAGATACGGCGACATTTCATTTTTTTTGTTGCAATAGGTGCGACAGAAAGTTCTTATGTTTGAAGCATTTATCATTAGTGAGTACGGAAAAACCTTGCGACCTCTTTTCA